ACCGTGGTGTAACGCGTGTAGTCGTCAACAACCAGCAGGAAGTACCGCTCGTGGCCCTGTCCACGGACGCGGGCTGGGCCCCACACGTCCAGGTGGAGAGTCTGCAGGGGAGCCTCTGTGGGAGGGAACGAGGAGGAGTGAGGAGCGGCGCGCTGCCGCCCCTCGACGCAAGGAATGCAGGGCGGCGCAAGCGAGGGAGGCAGGGCAGGCAAAGACCTGGGCAGACCAGAAACCAGGAAGCGAGAGTGCATGCCACGAAGGCGCTGCACCGAGGGGTGACCAAGGCGGTGGTGCCACAGGAGGGTCTGGTGCGACAAAGCGCGACACTCGCAGGGGGCCGTCGGCTGACCGGACGCAGACGCAGACGCAGCTACCTGAGCGGACGCAGACGCAGACGCAGCTGCCTGAGCGGACGCAGTGGTCAGGGTGTACAGACTCGAGCCAGGCGCACGGGAAAACGTGGCCAGGTGTCGGCCGGTCCGAGCACACGTACAGTGAGTCACCCGCTGACTCGCAGGAGTGAACTGGTGCACCCCCTGATCCTGGAGGTCAGCTCCACTCACCAAGTTCGTAGAGAACGAGGGGAGGTAAAGACCTGACAGCAAGCCAGACGGGGCGGCCGGACACGGCAGAACCGTGGAGTAGTGGGCAAGGACTGGACCCCCAGAGGGGTCCGCCAGGGAGACTGCAACCGGCCGACTAAGCGGCGTGAGTGTGGTGCAGTCGCGAAAGAAGGAGCGGGAAGCACCTGAGTCAAGCGTGAAGGTGTACAAGGCCGCAGCAGGCGCAGAACTAGAGAGAGCAGACCCACCAGCACCTGGAGCAGGAGACGTACCGGCACCTAGAGCAGCAGCCTCACCAGCACCCAGAGGAGGAGACGCACGAGCACCTAGGGCAGCAGCCTCACCAGTACCGGGAGCAGCAGGTGCTATACCAGGGTCAGGCGGGACGCACAGGTAACAGGCACGGTCAACACTAGTAGGCAATGCATACATGGCAGTGAGAATAGCATCATAGTCAGGAGCAAAGATATCTACCCTCTGTCCAAGCAGCTCCAGCCAGTCGGGGAGCTCAGCCTCGTCGCCAAACACTGTACGCCAGTCGTCGCTCAGACGGGCGAAGCAGCGGGACTGTGTGTGACCAAGCGTCCCGCAAGGCTGACCAGTCCTATCACCTGTGCGAAGGACGTACTGGCAGCGAACTGTACGCGTAGACCTGCTACACTGAGTGTACCACTCCTGGAGCTGCCGGGACGTAAGTGTCTCGCGTGGACGCCGCTGCAGCTGCAGCTGGCCACTGCCAGTCGCTCCCAACTGACCAGCTCCAGGGGGACAGCTACGACTGCTACCGCGACAACCCCAGCTAGTATACCACTCACTAAGCTGCTGGGGCGTGAGAGACTCACGTGAACGTCGCTGGGGCTGCATCTGGCCACCGGCCAGTAGCAGTAGCAGCAGCAGTAGCGCGGGCAGGGCAGGCGCGGCAGGCCGACAGGCAGGCAGGCCGGCAGGCAGACAGGCCGGCAGGCAGGCAGGCAGGCAGACAGGCAAGCAGGCAGACAGGCAGGCCGGCAGGCAGGCAGGCAGGCAGGCAGGCCGGTAGGCAGGCAGGAAGGCAGGCAGGCAGGCAGGCAGGCCGGCAGGCAGGCAGGCCGGCAGGCAGGCAGGCAGGCCGGCAGGCAGGCAAGCAGACAGGCAGGCCGGCAGGCAGGCAGACAGGCAGGCAGGCAGGCAGGCAGGCGCTCACCAAAGGCTGGAAGAGCAGGCGCTCGCCGGGCGAGCAGGGCCGGCGCTCAACGGGCGGCGGCGGAGTAGGCGCACGACAGCGGCGACGTCGGGGCCGCAACACCCGGTGCAGAGTAGGGCCGAAGCAGCTGCAGGCGGGGCCGCTTCAGCGGCAGGTCGGGGCCGTGGCAGCTGCAGAGCGGGGCCGTATCAGCGGCAGGTCGGGGCCGAGGCAGAGGGACGCGCGCGGCTCGGCGCGGGCTGCGCTGACAGCGCGCTGGGCTGCTGCAGGCCGCGCGCGGCCGCGCTAGGCAGTGGCGAGCCGCGCGCGGCTCGGCGCGGGCTGCTGCGGGCCGCGCGCGGGCCTCGCGAGGCAGGAGTAGGCCCGCGCGCGGCTCTACGCGGGCTGCGTGGGCTCGGCGCGGGCTGCGCGCGGCTGCAGCGGGCTGCGCGCGGCTCGGTGCGGGCTGCGCGCGGCTGCAGCGGGCTGCGCGCGGCTCGGTGCGGGCTGCGCGCGGCTGCAGCGGGCTGCGCGCGGCTTGGTACGGGCTGCGCGCGGCTGCAGCGGGCTGCGCGCGGCTCGGTGCGGGCTGCGCGCGGCTGCAGCGGGCTGCGCGCGGCTCGGTGCGGGCTGCGCGCGGCTGCAGCGGGCTGCGCGCGGCTCTGTGCGGGCTGCGCGCGGCTGCAGGGGGCTGCGCGCGGCTCTGTGCGGGCTGCACGGGCTCGGTGGGGGCAGCTCGCGGTAGCAACGGGCTGCGCGCGGCTCGGTGCGGGCTGCGCAGGCCTGGAGGGCGTGTAGGGGCGGCGCGCGGGCCTTACGGGCCTGCAGGGGCAGCGCGCTGGCCTAGGGCAGCAGGAGGCAGCGCTAGGGCTGCTGGACGGCTCGCGTAGTGCAGCACGTCACAAGGCAAGGCAAGGCAGGCAGGTACGTGGGGTAGCGCGGTAACCGCAGTGGTAGGTGGGCCCGAAAAAAAAAAAACCGGTCCTACGGACCTTAGTGCTCTGAAACCATGTTAGAATCTGACAGCAGGAATGAGATGCATTGATGAAGTGTTGGGTACATAAGCTAACCCTAACATTGGGTTGTACCCCATATGGGCTACCCCACTAGCAGCCTACACAAACACAATATGCATAGTTTGACAGCCTCATGTACCTGATGACTTGTACTCGCCCGGACCTCGCCTTCCTTCTCATCGTCCTTGCGCGCTTTGTTGCGCCAGGGAGACACCGTCCTGTTCACTGGACAGCAGCTGTGAGGGTGGCGAAGTACCTAGCGACGACATCAGGCGTGGGGCTAGTTCTTGGAGGGCAGCAGTCTGTCGTACTTACTGGTCACTGTGACTCTTCTTACGCTGACGACGCTGAGACTCACAGGTCTACTCAGGGGTACTGTTTCAGCCTGGGTTCTGGAGCTGTTTCCTGGCGGTCCACGCGCTCCTCTTCGGTCTCGACCTCTACAGCTGAGGCTGAGATCTACGCTGGTGCCATGGCGGCACAGGAGTTGCGTTGGTTGACGTTCTTGCTTGCCGACCTTGGTGAGCGGCCGAGCTCTGCACCGACCTTGTTCACTGACAACAAGGCATCGATTCTCCTTTGTCAAGAGCCGCGACTGGAGAGCAGAGTGAAGCACATTCACGTCAGGTACTTTCTTCTGCGAGAGTTGCAGAGACGTGGACAGGCTCGCTTTGAGTTTGTGGAGTCCGAGGCCAACACTGCAGACATCTTCACCAAGGCGCTTCCGCCTTGTGACCACCAGAGGTGCTGTGTGCAGTTAGGCCTTGTTGACACTGGTTCTCGTCTTGTGTAGACTTGAGTTGACTGTTTGTCTTGCTTGTACATTTGCTGTATATCTTGTGAGTTCTTGGACTGGCCTTGTGGCCACTGGTGTTTGTGCTCAGAGTGTGTGGTGACATTGTGATCCACCCTGAGCTTTGTTTCTTGGACTGGTCTTGTGACCGTACTCTTTTGGTTCTGCTAGACACCCCTCACTTAGGCAAGGGGGTGTGTCAAATGTTGTAATCTATATTGAGGATTGTCTTAGGGGGTACAAAAGTTAGGGTTAGCTATATGTACCCCAACCAACATCAATGCATCATTCATTCCTCATTCTGACAGTATCAGGCAACCTCGTATCAAGTTCGCGTCGAACCGCACTAAAAAGCATCCAACCGCAGTCGAACACACTGAAACGCATTTCACCACGCGAAGCTGATACGAGGTGTTTCTGATACGAGGTGTAGGAACACGCTCTATCAAAAGTCATCTTGTTCTCCTTCAATTAATATAAACAAGGTCACTACTCAAAGACTCTTCATTCCCTCTCAACACCTCGATCCTTCTGTTATTCCAGCATCAACCGCTTCACTGTGGCTCGGATGACTCGCTGCTGCTTCGCTTAAGGCTTGTTTCGTTCTTGTTGTAGTGCTCGACATTCCAGAAGCGCAGTTATATGTTTCCAACAGACCCAGTCCCCCTTAAAATATTTCAAAGCAGTTACAGAAATTCATAAATTGAACAAGTGCCCACATACCTAAATTCAATAATCCAAAGTTATTTCAAATCACTGAAATTAAGGTGTGGGTCGCTGTTTCTTCCGAGCCACGCCATTTGAAAGGTCTTTCAATGTAAGGCCCAACCAGTGGTTAGCGCGTCATATCACATGTTGCATTACACTGCATTGTGGTCACTGTACATAAGGGCAGCCCATGCCGCCCACACCACCATTGTGTCAGTAACAAAGCGGGGCCCTCCTGATGAGAGCCACGCACAGCAAGTGCCTTCCCTCCTTCTGCTGGAGATGCTGCTTGCTTCTTCATAACGCCTTACACCATGTCAGCACCACCTTGCACCATGCCAGACTCACCCCCCGGTACAACTGCTCTTCGAACTAGTTCTTTATCCATGCACTGCAAATATCTGCACCTCTTAAGCAGCAGGCAGCTCATTTGTCAGTGCAGCTTCCTGCTGTCATCGCTCCCTTGATCACCCACCCACCCAGTCAGTCAATTCCACCTTCCCCCTCCACTATCCTCCTCCACTATCCTCCTCTTCCCCCCACCACCACCGCCCTCCACCACCCAGCACCACTGCATCATCACCGAACTCTCAACCCACACGTCTCCCTTCCCATGAGCACAAACACATCTATCCAACCTCCTCCTTGCCCTCACTCCTTCCATATCCGCCCCGTAACTGTCAGCTTCAGCTCCTCCCAATCACCCCCCGTTAAGAAAAGCACCATGAACCGCTGGATAATCAGCCGGTCACGCGAGGTCACTCCTTCCAAATCCGCCCCGTGACCCGCAACTTCAGCTCCTTCCCATCGCCCCCCGAGAAGAACAGTGCCATGGACCGCTGGATAATCAGCCCGTCATGAGAGTCGCGCACCTTGCGGTGGCTGTCCCGGATGCTGCGCGGCACGCCCTGCCACATGAGCTTGCGCCCGTTGCCGCCCACCTCCAGGCTGTACCCAAACGCCTTGGCGTCCGCGTCGTCCCCCATGAAGCGCAGAAACGCCATGTACACCGGGGCGCTGCCCAGCTGGAAGGCCTCAAAGTGCAGACAGAAGTGCTGCCCGAAGCAGTTGAACACCTGGGGATGAGGAGGGAAGAGGAGAGGAGAGGACGGGGAGGGGAGAGGAGGGGAGAGGACGGGGCGTGGGGGGAGGGAAAAGGAAGGTAGATACTAGATGAGTGTTTGGGTGTCTCAGAAAGCAGTACGCAAAGGCCTGGCGTCGTCAGCAAAGCACAGGAATGTTTCGACAGGTATTTTCTCCGTGGGAGTGAGAAACGAGACAGGCGAGAGCAGTAGCTGTGAAAAAGGCAATGAGCAACGGTCTTGCAACACCAAATACCATGACACGCACCACCACACCCCCCTCATCCTCACTCGGCACGTACTCCACTCATCATCCATCCACCACACACTCACGCACTCACTCACGCACTCACTCACTCACTCACTCACTCACTCACACACTCTCTCTCTCTCTCTCTCTCTCTCTCTCTCTCTCTCTCTCTCTCTCTCTCTCTCTCTCTCTCTCACTCACCGTGAGCATCCAGGTGGCGTTTTCGACCTCCTGCGGGTTCTGCTTGACGTAGCGGTGGTTGAACGTGCTGCCATTATGCATGTCCACCTTATGATCGTCCCGCAGGTGCGCCACCAGCGCCAGCACGTCCCCCGTCACCGCGCACTCCGACCCCGCGTACGGGCAGCAGTACGGCCGGAACGCGCACAGCGCCTCGTGCTTCACCTTGCAGTAGTACGGGAGGATCTCCGGGCAGCCCAGCGTGTGGTGCTTGCAGGGCAGCTCGAGGGATTCCGCGACCTTTTCGAGCGCGAGGCAGCGGATGTTGCCCAGCTCGTAGCGGCACGTGGGGCAGCGGTTGTGCACGCGCGCCTTGCAGTGCGAGCAGAGCGTGTGACCGTTGGGGCACTGCAGAGGGTGGAGGAGGAGATCACGACGAGAGAGCGTGGCGATTGGGACAATGATGTGCGGGTGGGAAGGTTTGATGGATATTTAGATCCACAATGAAGGGCATACTGCAGGGCTGAGTTACTGGTCAGGCCTGAAACGCCTTGAGAGCGTGCGAGATTGAGAAATAGGCGTTTAATCGAGCGAAAGTAAAAAAAGTCAGCCAGAACATTTGGTAACGCGAATCAATCAGATCAGACGAGTGTAACCGTAGTTCGCGACCTCGCGACGATTCACAGCAGAGCTCCAAGGTTGACGTAAGGCTGAAACCTAAAGGCTTTTTATTATTGGTAACCAATAAACCGTTAAAACTAGGTTAGACATTGAAAGTGAAGATTCAAAATGAAAAAGGCAAGTTCACCTGATGAATGGGAGGGAACATGGAGTTGGTGCAGACAGGACACTCCAGTAGTTCGTGCACCCCTCCCGACGACATCACCGCGACGGGAGGCGACGTTTGCGACGGCGAGTTACCAGACGCTTTCGCCGACGAATGCAGAGGGTATTGTAACGATGAGCCCGGTGTGGCTCCAGACGACGACACGGGCTTGCCATGGCTCCTGGCCTGGCCGGAAGACACGCCGCCTTCTTCGGAGTCGTAAGTGAGCGAGGACGAGGCGTCCTCGCTGACTGACATTTCCGCCATCAAGTCGGCTAGGTCCGTTTCACGGCCTGGAGGCATTGGTTCACCTAACCTGTTCGCGTCGCTCGGACCAAGTGCTTGGCTATTGACTCGGGATTCGTCGAAACGGATTCATCGGAAAGGTGTAAGATGGTCGTGAATACGTTTGATGCGAACGTGAGGAAATGACTCCTCGGTTCGCGGTTTTAACTTGACGAGGCCTGGATTGTGGAAACCATGACGCCTCGCCTACTGAGAGTTTGAGAAAGACTCCGAGCTACGAACATCAAAATAACGAGATAGAATCTATGACTTTGCTGCAGAACCTCGTGTAAAACGCCAGGAAGACTAGTAACAGAATGTTAGGAAGATATAGGAGCATGAAAAGAGTCACCGGAAAATACCGACAAGCAGTACAAATTCTTGAGTGCGGAGAGTAGGAAACCCTAAAAGTACGGAGCAGGTAGGAGAGGAGGGGAGGCTGAAGCTCAACAAGCTGCGGTAGGGGGATGGTGATGATGAGATGTTGATGTGCTGCATCGAGATGTCATGTGATATGAGGTGGGGTAGGGTGAGGTGTGGTTGCATGGGAGGATGGTACAGTACGTACGAGGGACGAGCATGTTCCAGTACAGTACCACACGGCGTCATGGTTGGAGTTTTTGCGCGGTTCCTAGAGGTGAAGTAGCCTATGAGCGTGTCTCTTTTTCGCTCCCGACGGTTCGAGCCGTGGACCGTCCGATTTGCGAAGAGATTACCATTTTCGTACGAATTCGCCAGAATTTCGCGAAAGTCTATGCTACATTGCGAACAGTTCGAACATTGTGAACATCACTTTTCTCTCCAAGCAACGGTTCACATTGTGAACATCTGTCAGTTCGAAATGCAAACGGCCAGAAGCACAGTTCTGACATGTGATTGGCTTGCGAACAACTATGAAATATTACACCGAGTCGCATGTTCGATTTATTTGTGGCGCGCATGAACATTGAACCGACACTACAAAGCCCCCAGCAATCCGAACCGAGCCATTACAATCAGCCTGCTATGGAGCACTCTAGCGGAAACGACAACTCTCGACCAGCCAACACCACACCCAACACCACTGTCTATCAGTGTGATGTTTTCAATGTATCGAGTGGTGTGATGTGCTTGGTGGTTGAGCATTTCTGGAATCGCGCCGCAAAGGGTCATGGCGAAAATTGCGAGAGTGTGTGACTGGGGTTACGATGGTACAGTGGCTCTAACGATGCTACAGTAGGTCGGAAATTTGCGATGTTGGAAAAAGTGACAGTTTTGCCTTCGGACGGTCTGATGTTTCAAATTTCTGAATCGGTCTGTCCGGTACCCGCTATTGGGACCGTTCGTTTCGATACAAGTGGACAGTCCGGAAAAACATAGAAAATTAAAAAAAAGAGACACGCCCTTAAATGTCTGAAACAAGTAGTACACCCTGTTTTCGCTATTGTGGGTCCCGGTATACTGAACCCTGTGGTTCAACACGCCAAAGGATGCGTTACAGTCAACTTTTGCCCCAATGCGGTCTGACGAGTTACGTTACGTTTACGGGCGGTGCATGGAAGTTTTGGAATGGCTTGGTAGGGTACCAATGATAATGAAACTTTAGATCACCCATCTCCTAAAGACGGTTCTTGTCAACTTTCCGAATACGTCCAAGGAATAGTACTACTGTTCAGAATGTTTCCGCAGTTCAGTGTAGCAAGAAACAGGGTGTACATATGAATGTGCGACACCAAAGGCTTGGTTTCGCTTCGTTTCGTGGGTTTCCCTTGGCCATGGGCGCTTGCTCCTGATAAAACCCAAAGGTAGTTCCCCTAAATCCAGATGGATGTGTGAACACCCCTGGCACCGCAAGGTTAAGGTTAAGGTTATGGTTAGGTCTAACCAGGTAAAAAATAATACAATGCAAAAGGCCTAGAGGTAACGGAAACAACAGAAGTTGTAGGTTCTGATCTGTATCTGAAAATCAGTCGTAGGATGTGAATGACTTAGGGTATTTTCATAGCTCGTGTCTAACATCAGGTTATCACCCCTTAATCTAGAATTTGTCTTTTTTTTTTTTTTTTTAAATGTTGATTTGCCCCTATTCTAAGCCACTTCGGGTGTTCCGATCATGTCACACACGAGCTAGGAATGTACCCTTAGAAGTTATGAGGACAGAACTCACATGTTCAATTCAGGATCTGAAAGTTAACGAAACTGGTGGTTCTCCAACTCAAGTTTTAAACAAGAAGTTGCACAAAAAAAAAAAAAAAAACTGACACAATGAGCAAAACATATCATGATAATTAAGCATTAAAAAAAAAAGGATTTCTAAGGGCGTCTCGCGTAACGCGACTCGTCTCGAAACTGAATTCGTAAGAATAACCAACATTGAAACCCCAAATTCTAACTGAACTGTCGTTGAAACCGAATTTCTTCAATTCCGCCGAACACCGCCTGCAAAATGGTTGGAAAAATTTTGGCGGTCTAGAACGTCTTCTCTCTCTCTCTCTCTCTCTCTCTCTCTCTCTCTCTCTCTCTCTCTCTCTCTCTCTCTCTCTCTCTCTCTCTCTCTCTCTCTTTCTCTCTCTCTTCTGAAACCCTTGTTTCTTCTAACTGTTTCTCACGATCACTCAGCTGCGGAGATTCACTCTACACTGGGAGCTAGACTACGGGGGAAGGCACGGGTTCTAAGAGTGAGCGTAACATTCCTTAGCGTTTGCTTTTGTTCTCTCTATGCACATATTCACTGGAAGAATTGGCAAGGGCTTCAGAACGATAGAACAAGCAATGGAAAGAATGACTACATCAGAGCCTAGCAACCTAGCAGGCAAGCTGGTCGACCGCCAGCGCAGCACGGTTGAAAGTCTGCCAGCATTGCGTAGAGGCACCGCACCAGTGTTGCAGAAGAGCGGCCCGCCAATAGAGCAAGTTCGCGGCTTGCCAATGAAGCAACAAGGCGGTTTGCCAACGCTGCTGTAGAGCGGCCTGTCAGCGTTGCACCCGCGGTGACAATAGCGCATGTGCGTATTTAATTTGTAGGTGCGGGGCGACGATCGAGCACGTTCTCTATCGTCGCGCAGGTGCCAAGTCGGCCACGTGTCGACAGTAGCGCTAGAAGCTCCACGTCGACCTCGGGATACCAGCTTGAGGTCGCCTTCGCCATCGCAATCTCGGCGAGCCTCGTGTGCCGCTGCAGAACCTGGTCGAGGAGGTATTTGGTCAACCGAGTCGACCACCCGGTGCCCTTGTCGAAGACCTCTCTCGTCGACCACTGCTCCCGTCGAAGACCACCCCGGACGATGGACCCTTCCGTCAACCAACTCGGTCATCTGCTGCCGTCGAACACCCATCGTCGACGGCCCTTCGACAGTCCCGCGTAGGTCGACGACCACCTTCGTCGACCTCTCCGTCGAAGTAGGCCGCCGGCTCTCGTCAACGGCGGCATCGCAGTGGTCGCCTGCAGGTCGACCACCCTGTCGACCTGCTCGCCCAAGTTGGCGTCAACCCCTGCGTACGGTCGGGGCCAACACCCTATTTCCGTCAACATCAACTAGTTCCTCTTGTCAAACATTATACATGTTATATCTGTGTAGGCTATAGTGGGTTAGCCTATAGGAGGGTCACCATTCTAGGGTTGCATATTTGTACCAAACTCACTGCTAGTTGCCTCATTCCAGTCCGTTTATTCTGACATGGTATCAGAGCAGGTCCATCGCTAGGACCGTTCTTAGGGCCCACCGTTACCTACCTACCTACCTACCTACCTACCTACCTACCGTGCGCCTCTTGCGCCTACGCGCCCTCGTGCGCCTTTCTCTCCTTGTGCGCCTTCGTGCGCCCTCGTGCGCCCTCGTGCGCCCTCGAGCTGCCCCTGCAGGTCCGTCAGGCCACCGAGCCGTCGCTGCAGGCCTGTCAGGCACCTGAGCCGCCGCTACAGGCACGTCAGGCACCCGAGTCGCCGCTGCAGGCCCGTCAGGCCCCCGAGCCGCCGCTACAGGCCCGTCAGGCCCGAGAGCCGCCCCTGCAGACCCGTCAGGCCCGCGCGCAGCCTCTGCCCGACCGCGCGCCGCCCCTGCAGGCCCTAGCCGGCCGCCGCGTCGCTCTGCCCGCAGCGTCGCCGCCTCTCCGCGGCGTCGTCGCCTGCCCGCGTCGAAGCCGCCTGCCCGCGACGTCGATCCCTGCCCGCGGCGCCGTCGCCTGCCCGCGGAGACGTCGCCTGCCCGCGGCGTCGTCGCGGCGTCGCCACCTGCCCGCGGAGTCGTCGCCTGCCCGCGCCGTCGCCACATGCACGCGGCGTCACCACCTCCTCGCAGCGTCGACCTGCCCGCGGCGTCGCCACCTGCCCGCCGCGTCGACCTGCCCGCGCCGTCGCCACCTAGCCCTAATCCGTCGCCCTGCCCGCGGCGTCGCCACCTGCCCGCCGCGTCGCCCTGCCCGCGCCGTCGCCACCTAACCCTAATCCGCCTCTCGCCCCTGGAGCAGCCGCCACTGCAGTAGCAGCCCCTGGAGCCGCCGCCACTGCAGCAGCAGCCCCTGCAGCCGCCCGCCACTGCGGCAGCAGCCACTGGAGCCGCCCGCCACTGCAGCAGCCGCCCCTGGAGCCGCCCGCACCTGCAGCAGCCGCCCCTGGAGCAACTGCCGTCGTAGCCCGGTCTAGCTCTGCAGCAGCTGCCGCGGAGCTTCCTACTGCGCCTGCCACGCCGACCACTGGTGAGCATTGCCCTGCCAGCACTGCTACCGCTGCTACTGCTACTACTGCCGTTTCTACTCCCACTCCCGCTACTCCTGCTGCTCCTGACGTGGCCAGATGCAGCCACAGGACCGTGCGCGTGAGTCCCTCACGCTCCAGCAGGCTCGTGAGTGGTACGCCAGTTGGGGCTATCGAGGTGGCCGTAGTGGTAGTCGCTCTGACGTGCGTCGTTCGGGAGCCCCTGGTAGTGGACAGGTGCAGCAGCCGTGCCCTCCTACGGTCCAGCAGGCTCGTGAGTGGTACGCCAGTTGGGGCTATCGGGGTGGCAGTCGTGGTAGTCGCTCTGACGTGCGTCGTTCGGGAG